CCTTTTAACCATCCACAGCCTCAGATTCGATCTGCGTTTACTGTAGCCCAATATGCAAAAGTGTATGTGTGTGTGCGCGCGCTTGTGTGCGTATGTAACTTCCTTGCTAAAGATTTACTCAGAGATTGTTGGCCTGACTGACCCCCCATTTTCATTTCCAGACCTGATTCCCTTGTTCCTAAGCTTCACTCAGGCTGCTTCCAGGCTCCAACTTATACCAATAAAAAGACACTCTGCTACAATTCTATCCGTCTCTCTTTATGAAATAAAGATGGTAAGGAAGAAAGATGGAAGGAAGCTGAGGAAGGCAAAGAGTTAACAAATGACAAATGATGTTGTCTGGACTCCTCTCCTCTTCTCACAGAATAAGGCAGGGCCATTGCACAATAAACGCCTTATGTAGAAGCACCCTCAAGAGGACTGCAAAGATAAGATATGCCACAAAATTTTATGTCTATTATCTTCGGGTAGGATTCCTGTCTAAAGATCCAGACAAGTTGCAATAAGGATCTTGCAGTCCTACTCAAACTTTACAGTCTTGAGTAAGAGAATTTCAGAAGAGGGGGGGAATAGAGACAGGGATGAAATCCAGCAGGTTCTGACAGGTTCTGGGGAACCGGTAGCGGAAATTTTGAGCAGTTCAGAGAACCGATAGCGGAAATTTTGAGTAGTTCGGAGAACCAGCAAATGCCACCTCTGGCTGGCCCCAGAGTGGGGTGGGAATGGAGATTTTGCAATATCCTTCCCCCAGGAGTGGGGAGGGAATGGGGATTTTGCAGTATCCTTCCCCTGCCACATCCACCAAGCCACACGATGCCCACCAAGCCACACCCACAGAACCGGTAATAAAAAAAATGGATTTCACCACTGAATAGAGATTTCCATTTTCCTAGTGGGCTATACTAGATATTTATAGTCCTACTCTTAGGAAGAATAAGACAGCCATCTCAGAAATTACAGTAGGTTTGAAGTATTATGAAAAGACAACAAATAGTTGGTTTAATATTCTCTTATTTTACTGCTACTGATATGGAGAAGTGCCTTGGAGATTTTCTGCCTCAGATGCCAAATAAGTTGGTTACTTTGGGCAGGTGAGGGACTAAGCTCCCTCAGGCAGCAGAACATCTTGAACTGGTCCTGATGGCAAGTGATGGAAAGAACTTTAGTCTGCAGCTCTGAAGATCTGCTGCCTCATGTCGCAGAAGACATGAGCAGCATCAATGAACAGATCCAATCTGACTTTAGAGAAGATAACTCACCAAGTTAGAAAATTTGGATTTAGGGTGTCAGCCCTGAATCTGAGCAGAGGGGAAGGGATTTGCAGTGTGAGAGACAAAAATTGTGTCATTTCCACCACTTTCCTTTGAATCATTTCTATCACCCTCTCTTGCAAGCCTAATTTTCTTTCCCAAGCAATTTTCAATGTCAGGACATGAACAGAACAATCCCCTGCTCTTCAATTACCTCTTACCCCTGCTTCTCAATTGATCTTCCAGTGATTGTTCAATCTGGAAAGTCTTGGTCCTTCTTAGGTTTATTCTGTATTTTTTTAAATGATTTACAACCTTATAAGGTCATGGATATCTAAAGTATCTTTAAAAGGCCTCCTTACTTTTACACTGCTTTGTGTCTAAATCAACAGCTAATTCCACCCACAGAATTTGCTATTAAAAAAGAAAGATCATAAATAAGCTTGTTGATGTGTTACAAATTTATCACAGTGCCCAAAGAGCAGCAGGAAAGTTTTATGAAAAAGATTTCATCTTTTTTCATCTTTTTCATCTAACAGTCAGCATGATAGGCTAATTCAATGCAGAAGGAAAAAAGATTTTTGAAGACTTTTACAGAAATCTTGTGGATTATGCTGAAGCTATTTCAGTACTTAATATGAAACTACTCCAATTTTGGTCTATGAACATATAGCAATTAAAAAAATAAAAATGATTTTATATTGATCCATATACTCTGTCTTATCACTGAAGTCAGCAGAGGCTGTCAAAAATTTCATGCATCTTTGCTTTCTGAGATGATTTTTACTAGAATTGCCATCTTATATTTGCATATAAAAGCATTAGAAGTAGACTGAATTATGGGAGGTAAAAATATGAAGGAGAGTACTATCACAGAGCATACAAATAAAACTTTGCACATTTTATCTTAATAGTTTCTCTTTAAAAATGTAAGCCTGTGTAAAATTGTGATTATTTTAATTTAAACTAAATTGGCCATAGAAACAGATTAATGTGGGGTGGCAGAGCAGCGATTCCAATTGAATCCCTTCAGCATGGTCTAGTCCACTTTGGAAAAAAATCCAGTGCTGTTTTCACGAAGGACACAACTGTTGAGCGAATGATGATTTTGCCACATAGGCTGAAATGTTCAAGAATTATAAGTACAAGAATCTCCCTGATTAATTCAACCTGGTTACCTGCTTATTATTTCCAACCCAACAGAAATTTAGAAAGAAATTGTTTAAAGGGGTTCACAACTCGGATTGTCGATGAGGTCTGTCGGTCAGATGGATAACTTTCTGAAAACCTTGGAACAAATCTGGTGCAGGAGGAGAAAATGGTCAAAGCTGGTCAAATGGACTGTAAATGGATTGAATCAGGTTTCTTCTAGGGCAGTGTCTCTCAGGCTCAGCAACTTCAACTACCAGAATTCCCAGTCAGCCAACAAGCAAGCAACCCATTCTAAGCTCCACCCAGGGTTCTGGTCACATGTCTCAAAGTAGAATGTATCCAACTTACCCCACACTTCTCACAGCAGAGTTACATGTCAACTCACATAGATGTGAAGGAACAGCACACACACACATACACATGGCCAGACCCAACATGTTACTTCATTACACAGAAGAAATGACGAACATCTCCTACAATCACTGCTGGTAAAAGAGATTGGAAAGCATTCCAGAAGTTATTTTCTGCTTTGATTTTTACATTTTTTTGCAATATAAATTTTAGAACAAGACAGATTTAAAAAAAGAGAGAAAGAATTCTTAGAGGAATGGCATTGACCAAGCTGTGATCAACACATATAGAGTATTGATTTAATTGCTATCTGCAGTTCTATCAAAAAATAAAATCAAATACTTAATTAACATGCAAATTGATTGTCTTCCAACCCCCCCCCCATCAAGCATGAATATAATTGATGTGAAAGAAAGTATATTGCCAACCAATGAACCCCACATCCCCAAATCTCCTATACTGTTTTCACTTCCTGTTGCCACCTGGGAGAGGCTGGCATTTGTATCTCTACAATCTGCAAATGTGGTATATATGTCTAGGAGCAGGGCAGGGGGAAATCTTGTGTACACAGCCACTGCTACATACTGCATGTAGCCTGAGCACTCTTGGTAGACATTAACCCAAATGCTTTGCCCAACTATCTATTCATGATGCCCAAGAAACTGATAATCTCAGGCAAAACAAATAATATTTGCCCTGTCCATTGTGCATAGTGCTAGTTATGCAGAAGAAAATGCTTTGTTGTGGAAAGTGACACCAGGATCCTGGTCCTGATAAGCATCACACCTTGGATTTCTCCTCACTTATTTTCATTTTGGTATATCTGCTTGCTTGCCTGCCAGGTTTATAGCTACAACAGGTGGCAGCACTTAACTGAGCTTGATTGTTCTTAAGAAAGATAGGTGGTGTCAGATCAGGACAGTCCTTAAATAAGAAAGACCATCTGGTATAGTGGGTAAGGAGATGGACTAGAAACTGGGGGATTGTGAGTTCTGAACCTCCCTGAGGCATGAAAGCTGGCTGGAAAGTTTAGGCCGTTGCTCTCTCCCAGCCCATCTTACTCACAGAGCTGTTGCAGGAAAAATGGGAGGTGGAAATGATGAGTACAACATCTTGACATGTACAAAATAAAAGAAGGATGGTTGCCTTCGGTGCACTCCCAAAATAACTGGAGCACCACTTGAACACCATCAGCATTGACAAATTCACCACCAGTCAATTGCAAAAGGCAGCTTTACAAGGAGCAGCTTACATCCTGAGACAATATCTCTAACACCATCAAACATCAACATCTGCTTATCCCACATCCTTGGTGAGAACTTGGCAGGTGAATTAAAATATCAAATCCAGTCTGAATATCTGGCTGACTGTGTGGCCAACCATAATAATAATAATACCTAGGAAACCCCGCACTATACACTAAGCTAGAAAATCAAAAGGTGTGCCTGTAGAAGGCACACTTTTGACTTTTGAGCTTAGTGTACAGTGTGGGGTTTGCTAGGTATTATTAGAAGAAGGTATGCAACACACTTCCCCTTTCCGCCAAAGAAAACTCCATGGACTACTCAGTGTTGCTCTAGGAGTTCAGCTCAGCTCAGCTTTATCTTCATTTTGATCAAAATAAATTTTAAAGTGCATGTTCTCTAAATGAGATAGAAAAAAACTTGAGATCATTATTAAAAATAGCAAAAAGGAGAGCAAATCCATTCGTCTATATGCATCCTAAGCCATTTGTGGCTTTTAACTTGGCTTATAGGTTTACAGGCTTTTTCCCCCTGGGAGTTAGACAGGTACAATGTAGTCATCCTTAAGCTATATGACCCATCTGTAACTGGTACAGATGGATGAGATTAGCTAAGTAATGTTGGGAAGCTCAGTCATGTTTCTATGTGCATCTAGATCTACATATATAATTATTCCTATATTATCTGTATAAAAGTTGATAGTACAGTTCTAAGGTGAGACTACATAGGTTTTTTTTTAATTTATGTGTTGATAATGCTAGGACCCTTTTTGGAGCTGTGAAAATTGGCTTATATATAATTCAATAAATAATAAATGTGATGCTTGCAAGCCTCATTGACTTTAAACTTTTTTCAACAAGATTATCTCTCAATGGGTTATTAGCTTGGATGGCTAGATGGAAATACTGATTGATAACTTTTGTGTGTTTGAATAGGGAAGATGGAAGTTGTGGAGATTCAGTGGCATATAGCCATAACAACAGCAGCAACAAAAACAACATACCTAAAATCAAAGTTGGGAGAATAAACAGTAGAGAAAATGTTTGTCTGGCCAATTTGTAGAAGCATTTGCTGGAGTCTGCTTGAATGAGTGCTTTTCTTGACTGAACCTCTGTAATATAACACATTGTTATGTTAAGACTTTGCAATATTATTTGACCTTTGATGGTTATTAAAGAGGAAATTATTATTATTTTGGACAGAGAGACATAAAGAATTTCAATGTTTTCTGTGGTGTTTACCAAATTCTTTTTTTTTTTAAGATATAAGTATATTCACCATCGGTTTTATGTTATAAAATAATACAGTATACATATAATCATTTCTACAATACATGTCAAAGAAAAAAATATTGCTTTTGCCAAAGATAACTAATATTAAATGTAAAAATAGGAAATAAATAATAGTGAATGAAATGATTCTTAATAAAGATTGAAGTTGAATGCATCTGAAAAACTCATAATGTCAATAATGAATTTTTAAAATCCCATTTATGGAGAAATGAGTAACCTTTACTGCCCCCCCTTCTTGGTCTTTTAATAGATTTTTAAACTTGTCCATATTCCATATATCTGCATATCACAGCTAAAAGAGAATTCATTGCCATTTATAGCAGTCAAGTACTTGTTTTTAATCAATTGTCTTTCTTTGATCAAGACTCTAACATCAAGAATAAAAGAAACAATAGCAAAAAAAAAAAAAAACCCTTAACGATTAGTTCAATTATGCAGGAGATAGTTTTATCAATATTTTGAAATGGTCAATAAACATCAAATTGTAGAAGCACCCAAGGAAAAATGTGCATGCTGTAATGAAGGAAGAACTGTCAGACAGAAAGAGCATAGCTTTATCTACCAGAGACAAATGTGAAATATGCTTATGAATGTACAAACACACATTTTGTTTTAATAGGAATGCTACAAAAGCCTTTGAGATAAGTAAATCTTATTTGTAACCGCCCCAAGGATTATTTGAAACTTTGGTTTTGTTATGCATGGAGCTACAAAATTAATTTTCAAAATGCAAAATACATCACTCCTAAATTATGCATGTTTTGCTCTCCTGCATAAATACATTGCTACTATACCAAAGATGAGATGTTTCTAACCGAACCCACAGATTAGCCAGCCAGTATTGCTCAGCCTAACCACATTTTCTTGCCTGAAATAGAAAGTACTATTGCAACAATGGATTTGAAATTGATCATCAGAACAACCTGATAGTGTTTACTGAAATATAATTCAACTAATTTATTCTGGGTGTGTTGGATTTTTCTCCTACTGGTATGTTAAATATGCATAATAAACTTAGGATGACTGTAATTGTGCCAATTACACCTATGATAAAGAGTCATTATTCATCTGAGTCACAAATCTCTTGGAATGCTTTCATTCCATAGTCTTTTAGACTTATTATTTTGGAGAAAGATCTCTTTGTCTATATAACATTTGCAGTCTGTAATTTTTTTCATCTGATGAAACAGAATCAGACTGTGAAAGCTTGTGTGACAATAAATCTTCAAAAGCACATTCTCCCTTTAATTTTTATTGATTAATTGCTGCAGCAGACTAGTACATATCCCTCCAGTATGTGAGAACCATATTTTCAGAGGTTTTTTTAAAACCATACCGGAATCAAAATTTGATGTATGATGAAATAAATGCAAACTTAGAAAAAAAGCACCTCAATAAAAAGGAATGGGGATTTTCCAGCAGTGACACCATCACTGGAAAATACTATTCAGGACCAACTTAAGCAAACATGGAATCGCCAAGACACACAGAACCTTTGAGCCCTGTCAAATGTCATGACATAGATTCATGGGAAAATGCCTTCTAACTCCTGGGAAGTCTAGAAAAGGCAAATTTTTTGACCATACCAAGTCCGTGGCCTGCTAGCATCTGTACTGCATGAAGGAATTCATCAGGCATAAAACATCAATCAAAATCTAGGGAATACCTGAGGAGCCATATTTTGGAAGTCTAAGGAGAGTGGTTTGCTTTTGTATACCACGCCACTTCTAATTGAAATTCCTGAGAAACAAGAAGTGTAATCCCATTGCAAGGCCAAGGTCTTGAAGGACATCAATCTGAGAAAAGCTAGTACTAGATCAGCATTAAGCCAATATCAGTACTGTAGAATAAGATAAGGACGGACAGGGATATTACTTAAGGAAGGACAGGGATATTACTTAAATATCCCTTTAAATGAACTACAGTAAACTGAAAATAAGCTTCCGTTTTCCTAAAAGCCCATCATTAGGATCAGACTTGCCGCAACAGCAAGAAACATTTCTAAATATTGCAGATGATGGGGAGAAGAGGCAGAAATCCACAATGAAATTTGATTATTGTTGTAGTTGAGGTGAACTTAACATCAAATAATGGCTCTAACAAGAGACTTTGGAATGAGTGGGACAGAGTGAAGCAATATGCTGGAATTGGGAGAAAGAAACTAAACAGAGCAAATAGAAAGGGAAATGTCACCCTGAGCAAAGGAAAGAAGAGGCTTTATGATTTTTTTTTTTTTGTATATTTCATATGGTTATATTATGTGAAATTGTGATGTTTAATGAAAAGAGATAAGAACAAGTTATGTTTTTTTGGATATGGCCTTCATGTGGATTTCAGTCTCCAAAACATCTGCATGTCTAATCTGTGAGACTGCCTCAAATTATCAATATGACCAATCGTTTAAATAATTATGTGTCTAAAATAGACAGTCAACTTTCTGGCTGGAATCGAGGGTTGTCTGGCACTGCTTGAGAATTCTGTGACCTCTCAAAGTTTGTTTACTCCCTAAGACTTACATTTTGACATAGATTCTTTCTGTCCCCATCTGTCTCTCTTTCTGTATCTAAGCATGTGGGCACATACACATGTAATATGTACACATTCACAAGCACATATGCTGCTGCTGATAGTTTACGCAGGCCCACAGATTTTGGCCTTTTACAGACCAAATATAATTTTAACATCTACAAAATAAATATGAAGAAGGAATAGGATAGGATAGGATAGGATAGGATAAGATATGATATGATGGGATGGGATGGGATGGGATGGGATGGGATGGGATGGGATGGGATGGGATGGGATGGGATGGGATGGGATGGGATGCCTTGGTGGCGCAGCAGACTAAAGCACTGTTATTAACATCAGCTGCCTGCAATTACTTCAAGTTCAAATCTCACCAGGCTCAAGGTTGACTCAGCCTTCCATCCTTTCGAGGTAGGTAAAATGAGGACCCAGATTGTGGGGGCAATAAGATGACTTTGTATAAAAAAGAACACCGCTGGTGGGGGGGGGCGAAAGTCCTACTAAGCAGGTATATACAAAAGTATGAAGGCTATTGCTTAACGCATTGTAAACCGCCCTGAGTCTCCGGAAAAGGGCGGCATATAAATCAAACCAATAAATAAATAAATAAATATTTATATATATAAATAAATAAATAAATAAATAAATAAATAAATAAATAAATAGATGGGGTACGGAGGAGTAATAAATAAATGGATGGGGTGGGGTGGGGTGGGGTGGGGTGGAGTGGAATGGAATGGAATGGAATGGAATGGAATGGAATGGAGTAGCATAGCATAGCATAGCATAGCATAGCATAGCATAGAATAGTTCTTTATTGGCCAAGTGTGATTGGATACACAAGGATTTGTCTCTGGTGCATACACTCTCAGTGTACATACAAAGCAACATAATAAAGATAATCCTCATCCTCAATCTCATCCTCATACCAACAAGAGGGTGTATTAAAGAAGATAATAAGAAGGATAATAATAATAGTACAGCCATATTACTTGGTAAATATACATAGACATTATACAGCACTGTGAGGATTAGGTGTTCAGCAGAGTGATGGCATAAGGAAAAAAACTGTACCTGTGTCTAGTTATTTTGGCATGCAATGCCCTATAGTGGCGGTCTGAGAAGAGGAGTTGAAACTGTTTATGTTAAGGATGTGAGAGGCCTGAGATACCTTCTCAACCCTTTTTCTGACATGCACAATATACAGGTCTTCTATGGAATTATTTATGGAATTATAGAAATGTTATGAAATACTCTATGGAATATGAGATTCATCATAGATTTATCACTAGATTTATCACTGTGAAAGCTATTTTCTCACAATCTTATTTCACAATCCATTTTGTATATTCAATATTCTTTACTGTAAAAGGGGGATCTGGTTTATTTAATGGCTTCAGTAGCTTTTCTGAGTCACTGACACTATTAGCCTTTTTCTGAATGTACAGTACCTGCTTTGAAAAATTTCTAGTGAAAAGTTCTAGATTCCACTATCTGAAGAACACTTGGCAATGAAGTTAAAGAGTCCTCCTGATGTTTTGGTTCCCAGCTAGTAATCAGATTACCAAAGAGTGAAATTGTTTATGTATGTCTTCATTTATCAAGAATTGGGGAGTTTTCTTTGCTGTTTGACAAAGGCCTAGACCACACTAGCTGCCCAACCAATCATGCATTCCTGCACTGAGAGGCAGGAATGCATGATTGGTCACTGTTCAGATTAAAAAGAAGTTCCTCCATCAAGTCAGACTTGACTCCTAGTGATGCCATGGGTATGGCTGTGCAGGATTTTTGTTTGTTCTTTAGTAAAGTATAGGGATGGTTTGCCATTGACTGCTTCCAGGTTAATGAACATTAGAATGATGATCCAGATGATAATTATTTCTTTGTCTGAAAGTTGCTAGTTTTTGTATAATTAATTGCAATACAGAACTGTAGTCTTCCAGGATTTTTTAAAAAACTTTTAATAAAGACTTTGCCTCAAATCAGATATTTTTTATCCTGGTCACCAATTAAGATCACCATACATAAGTGCATACCCATTTTTTTAAATTTGATTTATATGCCGCCCTTCTCCGGAGACTCAGGGCGGCTTACAATGCGTTAAGCAATAGCCTTCATACTTTTGTATATTTTATAAAAAGTCAGCTTATTGCCCCCACAATCCGGGTCCTCATTTTACCTACCTTAGAAAGGTTGGAAGGCTGAGTCAACCTTGAGTCTGGTGAGATGTGAACTTGCAGTAATTGCAGGCAGCTGATGTTAATAACAGTGCTTTAGTCTGCTGTGCCACCAGGGCACCAATTATTATTATTTTCTTTTTGGGATGAGCAAATTTTTGCAGGGTGTTCAGAAGAAATCCAAATACATAAAAGTATGAAAAGAAAGGGAAATTTGGCTATAACTTTTATGCACCTACCGGTATATAAAAGTTAGAGATGGCTGAATGCTCTGCTCCAGTGAATGGTAATAATGAATCAGCAGTGCATTTGGTGGAAAAATTAGGCAACCTGAAAATTGAATTTCTGTGGGGGGGAAAGATTCCAAAATGCAACAAAATGCAGCAAGATGAGATATTCATAGGCAAGAGGTGAGTTTTCGACCAGTTATTTCTCAGCACGGTCCAAAGGGAATGTTCCCACTGAGTAGTGAGTATGTCACACTGAGTCTCCACCCTGTGCACAGCAGCTTTGACTCATCAAACAGTAGTCTCTTGTTTAGCACTCCCATGCTTTTTTGGACTAGCTCTTTTTCTGTAAAGATCAGATCTCTGATTCTTGTTCTTCATTAAATCTCTGTCTAGGACCAAGGGGGTGAATTTTTATCAGTGGATGATCTAGACACAGATCTTGTGAACTTGAGGGATCTTTTCAGAAAGGAATCACTGGCCTCAGTAATGCTGAAACTCTCTTTCAACAGTATAGCAGCCTTCTGAGTTTATTTCATCTCCCTCTTCTTCATCTGAAGATACATCCCTGAGCAGTTCTGTAACAAGTTCTGACAAGACATTATTCCACATCTCCTGATATTTTGTTGCCAAGATTGAGAAATACTGCTGTATAGATATATATAAAGAAAAAAGCAATGACTCAGCTTTTCAACAATACATTAACCAAAAAAGTTTGATCAATTTTTCCTCTTCGCTGATATAAGATCTATTCATGGATAGAGAGAATATACATCATCGGCCCAACTGGGTGTAGCAAAGTCTTTCCAATGAAGTGAAACAATCTTTTTAGTTATAGTCCATGCTCAGTAAAACTGGAGTTCTTCACACTGTATACACATAAGTTCCATATTTCTGGTTTATAGTTCAACATACTTAAATATATTAAAGTATTTCTCATTTCTCTTCCCAGCCCCATGCTTAATAAATTTAAGAATATAAAACCCAAATGGGCCAAGCTTGGGCCAAGCTCACAGCATGCGTGTGTTAAATGTCTCCTCCACCATTTTACATTTCTAACATATTCAACATGATATCCAGCCTTTATTCACTTGAAATATTTAGTAGCCTTGAGAGAAACTCTTTTGTAGAACTCAATGCTTCTTAAGATCAAAAAGTACATATTTCACATTTTTAAAAACTCTAGTCCATTGACTTATTAAAACCTGCTTTCCAACTCATTCCATTTTCCTTGCAACATCACCAGTATCAATCTTCATAATGCTTTTCAATTAGCTATAAAAAATAAACCATGGGTTTAGAATCTTCCAAAATTCTTTCCAATTATAATAATAATTTAGGCATTTCGGATGCTTGCTAACATCTCTAATCCAAATTGTGTAATCTGCACATGTTTTTATTGGATATTTTGCCAGTCAGCACTTTTATATACTCCAAGTTCTTTCTGCAATGCCACAAATGTTTTTAAAAGACTGAGAATAAGCTGATCTAAGGTATTGACACCCTTTTTCTCTCTTTAGGGGGCTCAGAACATCAATTTCATTCTCTCTACATAATCAAATTACTTTTTTTAAAAAAAGTATTCTAGGTTTACAGAGATTCTCAGTCATCCAGGTCATGGTTGTCCCAAAGGTGCTTTTTTCAAAAGGCAACTGGATTTTGTTTTTCTTTGAAGATGTTTTGATTCTCATCCAGGAAGTTTCTGGAATGAGAGGCGAAATGTCTTCAAGGAAAAACAAAAGCCAGTTGCCTTTTGAAAAAAGCACTTTGGGGATATATTCCAGGTTAATAACACATTTTTGTTTTCAATTTAATTCATTCAGCATCCATCTATATTTGTTCACTGTCACTTTTTATACTCTTTCATTCATAATTCTGACAATGACTTGTTTAGACACACTTAACAATCCAGTGCCCTTGTAGTTTGTGCATTTGTTCTTACTATGTTCTTTGCACAGATCTCCCAGGCATCGGGCACAGATGCAAACTTCACATCCACACAACCATTCCATATGCAAACCACATTAATATTTTGGCATTTCTCCAATGATAATACCTATACCATCGCCTTATATATATTCAGTACTCTTGCAGCATTTCTATCACTTTCTCATTGAACAGTAACTTTTATAGCATTTGCTTCAATTTCTCTGTTTGGCATACAGTATTATTATCATTCCCACATAAAACTCTAAAATACTCCTTGCAGCACTCTCTCAGTTCAGTTTCACCCCAAAACCATTTCATAGCTATGATTTTTAATTCCATTCATTCTGTTGGAGGCCGTTTAACTCTTTTCACTCATTTCCTAATCATTTCCCCATCAAAATGGCATTTTTTCTGAACCTCTCAATCTTAACTATTCCTTGCTCTTTAACTATATCCCTTGCAACACATTATACAATATTTTCTCTGTTCCTTATTTTTGCAGAAACTATTCACTCGCATGCATTATCTTTTTTTCTCATTCACAGCTGATCACTTCATCATTCCATCAAATATCGTATTTCATGTTTGCCATTTTATTTTCTAACACCTTTTCCCAGTGGTGGGATTCAAGTAATTTAACAACCGGTTCTCTGCCCTAATGATTTCTTCCAACAACCAGTTTGCCAAACTGCTCAAAAAGTTAACAACCGGTTCTCCCAAAGTGGTGAGAACTGGCTGAATCCCACCACTGCCTTTTCTTAGAGGTTTTCTTCTTATAGTTGCTCAATTTTACTTGCGTCTTTCATTTTCATGTCAGTTTTCCCCCAACTCCTTCACTAAAATGGTCCTTCATTGAAAAATGGTCTGACCCACATTCATAACTTCTCATCATCCTGTATCCTTCATTTATTCCTTCAATTTCTCTTCAAAAACACATCAGTGTTTCTATTTGCTATGTGTACTTATTCTTTCAGTTTCACAAGATCCCAACATACCTGTTCTTTTATACATTTCATTCATTCATGCTTTTTATTATATACTCCATGGATGAAATGCTACTGGTTTGCTCCGGTTCAGGAAAACCGGTAGTAAAAAAATAGTTTAAAAAAAGGTAGTTAAAAAAAGCTTCCTGTTCCTCTGAACCAACGATCAGCTGTGCCGCGCGGTTTAGGTTTGCTGGAAAGCAGGAAATCCTGCTTTCTAGTGAAGCTAAATTGTGCAGCACAGCTGATCCCCCCTCGCTGTTCTACTTACCTTCCCAAGCCTCCTTTTGGCGCATACTGTGCATGTGTGTACGCATGCGCAGCGAACGTTTGGCGCACAGGATGCATGTGCGGCCAGCAAACCGGTAGCAAACCGGTTCAGATTTCACCAGTGATGTATTCCTATTATTTATTGATTGATTTTATTTATTTATCAAATTTAGAGACTGCCCATATCACTCTCATAGTGACTCTAGGCAGCATACAATTAAAAACATTTTTAAAAAACCATATAAAAGTATTATATCTCAATAAAGGAGCCAGGTGAACCAAGGGTAGAACAAATGAAAAGGCAGGGGAACAGCCTTCAAGATGCTAACCAGCCTCAGAGTTGCATACTCCTCTGTAAGCCCCATGCAAGTAGGCAGAACCGTGTCTTTAAGTTCTTTCGAAAGGCCAGGAGACTGGAGGCTTGCCTCACCTTGGGGGAAAGATATTCCAAAGGACCTTCCTGGACCCTGCCAGTCAAAATTCTTTAGGTGACAATGTCCATAACATGCCTTCTCTGCTTGGGCCACAGCAGTAACTAGCAGAACCAATGGAGTTAAGCCTCCACCGCCCATCATGACTTTGGTTAATTGAGGTTTTTCAATGTTGAGCTAATAGATGATTGGGGGCCAAAAGTCTGTGTGTGAAATGCTAAGTCCCCAGAAGGGCTATTTGATTTTATACTCTTCTGTTTGCCATGGCTGTGAGGCCCCAGGAGAACAGAATGGCTGCATCTGATCATCGTTGCCCATTTAGCACCGCCCAGCGAGCACTTGTAGCTTATGGAATGCTACGGACACGGCCGACTTTTGCTTTTACCTGTCTTTTGTCATGTTCACATGACAAATAATAGTGGCTTTCAATGAGAGATGAGAAGGTATAAACTAAGTTATAGGTATAGTTAGAAATGTATTAGTTAGGTATCCATCCTGAAAAAAAAAATCCTCCCACTTATGACTGCATGACTGTAACCTTGTTGCTTGTATCCTTATGATTTATATTGACTGTTTCCTACTATGATTTGATTGCTTATTTGTACCCTATGATTATCATTAAGTGTTGTACCTTATAATTCCTGACGAATGTATCTTTTCTTTTATATACAATGAAAGTATATGCACCAAAGACAAATTCCTTGTGTCTCCAATCACACTTGGCCAATAAAGAATTCTATTCTATTCTATTCTATTCTATTCTATTCTATTCTATTCTATTCTATTCTATTCTATTCTATTCTATCCTATCCTATCCTATCCTATCCTATCCTATCCTATCCTATCCTATCCTATAGGGGAGATGAAGGTCCAGCAACCAAGCAAACAGTTACATAAATAAATAAGTGGTATTTCTTCCCAATGAAAAGACAATGCCAATCTCTACCAAAAATAAAAGATAAATTAATAGACGTTATTAGCAAAGCAGCAATTTATATAAAATTTGTTGGGACTTTAACTACACTGCTGCATCTGCCCTCTTGCCTCTTGTAACTCCTGTGGATCCTGTGGCAATAAGTCGTAACAGAAAATTGTAATGAAAACCATTAATGATCTTGTAAATTTAAAATGTAATGAAAGGAAAACTGGCCATTCCCAAAGTAATTTCATCACACTGATCAGACAGAAAGTAAATGACAAAAAGTACTATGTAGACTAACCTTGATAGAAGGAGATAGCCAACTCTCTTCCTAATGGTCACAGTAATATTGAGTCTTGTGTGAATAGCCACTTCTTCTTCTACTTTCTGTAGGAAATTGCCAAAATGAATTCAAACCAGCTAAGGATATCATCCTATGATATTTCAGCACAGGGAGCAGATATACTGTAAAAGTTCAGCTGACCTACTACTGCAAATCTATATACCTACTGTCTGGATGGAGAGAGAATGGAAGTAATACAGACTAAACCCAACTATTGTTTGATTAACAGAACTCCATTGCCACAACTGTGGTTTTAAACCACAGGCTGCAGCGGCCCAAAAGATACCATTAATCAACACAACTCCCTTGGCATATACAATGAATGGCATTGAAGCTGATTGATCTCCTTCTTGTGCTCTGAGCAGTTTGATTGTCTGTGAATGAGATTCCCTTGTCTAATTTCCAGGTCTGCATTCTCATTGCACTGAAGACATCTAAAGAAAAGTCATTCAGGAGCAAGTCTTCCTTCAAAAGTTGCCTCAAACCACAAGACAGGCTAAATAAACAGATGGATGGATGGGTGGGTGGATGGGTGGGTGAGTGGGTGGGTGGGTGGATGGATAGATAGATAGATAGATAGATAGATAGATAGATAGATAGATAGATGATAGATAGATAGATAGATAGATAGATAGATAGATAGATAGATAGATAGATAGATAGATAGATAGATAGATATGGGAAACGTTTTCAAAGGGAGGGGAACAAGAAAGTCCACTTGCCTTTTGGAAAAAGCACTTTGGGGACAACCATGACACAGTTGATTGAGAATCTTTGTAGATATTTAGGTCACATGTTATGCTGATCAATAATCTGTATTCTGCCAAAACTAAACCTGAATAAATGTATTTTTAAAAATCTAACCAAGGGTTGGTTGGTTGGTTGGTTGGTTGGTTGGTTGGTTCCTTCCTTCCTTCCTTCCTTCCTTCCTTCCTTCCTTCAGATAACACATACATCTGAGAGATAAAAAGGATGTATTTTGACTGTACAAGAGATATTGTCACTGATTCATTTTTTGTGAGAAATGAGTGTGGTCTGGAATATGCCAGCTGGACAGAATGCTTTCCAATTTAAGTGCTAAGCAACAAAAACCAAAGTCATAACTGTTATACACTGAAGTCCTCCTCTTCTACCTCCCATCCTGGCCAGCCACATAAGGTCAAATATCCCCTATTGTTCTGTTTGACTTTGCAAAAAGAAATTTGGAAATGTCAAATATGTCTAATTCATGTAAGAAAAACAAAAAAATATTGTTTGAAAGTCTAGGTTATTACTCTTGACTCACCCTCCAAAACCTTTGATGTATTCATATTCTAAATTTAGGCAGGGGCATTTTTATTTAACGCGTGATGTGTACAGGTGGCTCACCATTCAAACGTGTGAAACCAAATGCTCCTAAAATATTATGCCATTTGCTTTGTTGCGCATGCCTTGATTATTTTAACTAGATAATAGTGGCATGTCTTCACTATTCTTTAATATGGTGGTCAAAGCAGCCTAATTAGGAACTTGGGGCGGGGGCTGAATACTACATTTCTTCTAGACTTTATAATATAAAAAAACCCCAGAGAACTAAGTTATAACCAGGAAAGAAGGACAGGATATAATCAGGTAAGGATCAGCCAGGAAGAAAGTAGAATATTTTGTAGTTTATTCAAAAGGGGCAAGGAGCTCTTTTTAAGGCAAAGGCCTTGGTGTAGCATGTTGGGGGCTGCTGTCCTAAATGTAGATAGGAATAATCAAAAAAAGTCAGCAGAGCCAGAAAAAATGATTTCATTTATATTTCATTAAATGTAATTAAAGTGAAGATGAGAGCCAGTCTGGTGTAGTCATTAAGGCTAAAAACTGGGAGAGTTCTAGTCCCACCTTAGGCCTTGGGCCAGTCACTCCCTCAACCCTAGGAAGGGCCAGTCACTCTCTCTCAACCCTAGGAAGGAGGCAAGGGCAAACCACTTCTGAAAAACCTTGCCAAGAAAACTGCCAAGAGACTTTTCCAGGAAGTCTCTGGTAATCAGACACAATTAAATAGAAGGAAAAAGAAGACTTAATGAAATTTTCTTTGTGCTAAGCTTGCCTCTTAGTGACTTTACGAACACCACAATTCCATCTCCTTGGCAACAATAGAGAAGTGGGTTTTACCAAGCCCTTCATCTAGAACAGTGTTTCTCAAACTTGGCAACTTTAAGATATATGGATTTCAACTCCTAGAATTTCCCAACCAGCATGCTGCCTTCAGTCATTTAATGTTTCTTCAATCTCTGATCTGGGCCACCTCACAATTTGTGGTGATTTCCTACCCATCCATCTGAAGCCTTGGCTATGCAAGGTCTGGTTGGGGTTTAAGGAAAGAGTTCAGATTAGGAAAGACAAGATCTATTTGGATGCTTTAGAGACTTAAGAAGATTTGCAAAAGTGTCTTAGAAAAAGACACTTAGAAAAAACAAAAGTTTTTTGTTTTTCTTTCTGGAAAGGAGATACATTTCCCAAAAGAATATGTTCCTTTTATAAGTCAATAATCCTTTAGCTTCCACATCTGAAAGCAGGGAAGCAAGAGGGCAGGCTGATTCCAAGCTTAAAAGTGAAGAGGTATTTGGAAAATTTCAGCCATTCTGAACTGATGAAATCACATTAAGTTAAAGAGACCACAAAAAAGAAGATGGACACAACATTCTTGCTCGAGCGTGTTTCTATGTATATTTGAATTGCCCAAAATAAAATAGCCCATGAGACTTTTTAAATATATGTATATATTAGGGCACATCAAAAAGGAAATGAAGAATTTGGCACATGGGAATTGCTACATCCTTCTCTCTAACTCACAAACAGCCCTACCACATGTACTGGGCAAAGAAACAGGAACAAGTTGGAACACACAACTTGAACTTCTTGCCTTCAGTGAGTCAGGAACGTTGTCTGTGATGGTGATGGAAATCCTCCTCTCTTCCTGCAGTGCAGGAAGTACCTGTAAACATCTTGGGGAAAATATTCATCTCTGCGGACATTAAACAAGACGATGTCATCTCCCATAAGTGATGCCTTGTAAGGCTAAAGCATCAAAGTAACCTTGAATTCAACTTGGGGGAAGAGATGGCGGAGGAACTGACTCATAACCAGAAAATAGGGACAGGATTTAACAAAAACCAACTAAGATCAGACAGGAAGAATGAAAGAATGAAGACCGCAAGAACGTCAGAACTGGAAGTCAATATGATTCAGGATAGCAATAAATTACCAAGTCAATATCCGGTCAGGGATGGTAATCAGCCCAGATATAAATAGGGAGGAGTAATCTTTTTGGGGGGGGAAGTGATTTGATAGTTTCAAGATATCCTGCCTTGGTTTACTGATAATTGATGCCAATGTCACTATCTGCTAAATATGGGGACAAACAATGAAGGACAACCATTAGGCTAAGAAGGAGGAACAGGAACATATAAGAGGAAAATTATTCTTATTGATGATCACTAGTTGCTTAGTTGATAATTTCATTTTCCACAGCACTCCTTTTGCACCACAATTATTAATACATTGTACTAGGAAGTACATTAAAGGACAACACTCTTAAGTTACTTTAAGATTCTGCCACTTCTATCTTTTAGCCTTAAGTAGGAGGCCATGGAAACCCACTTCTGAAATATTGCCAAAAGAAATTGCAGGGACACATCCAGGAAGCCACCAGGAGTTAACACTGACACAAAGGCATCCAAAAAAAAAAAAAGGGGGGGGGGTCCACCACTACTTAGCATCAAACATAAATTATCATGATTTTTTAAAAAGTGATTTAATAAAAAGGAATGCCATGGAACTCAGGGGAAACTTTCTAAGAATTTGGTACTTTCTAGTGGTCGGTGGAATGCAATCTACTTTCTGTTTATACCTGCCATCAGATAGAGATGCTCTGAGGCAGCTGGTTCAAGAAGAGGAGGCTTCAGTGCCTAGAAAAGAAAACAGTATGCTGTTATTTAACATATTATACAAGTTTTTTCCACTAATCTACAAAAAGGCTGCGGTCTACTCTTCAGGCACTTCACAGTAATGGTACTATCACTATTTTATTTTCACTTTATGCATTTGAGTTTCTTTTTATCAAAAAGAAAAATAACTTTAAAAATGTCTACACACAAAATACTCCTTTCTTGGTACTTTGCAGGGCACACACCAGAGGTGATATTCAGCAGATTCTGACCAGTTCTGGAGAACTGGTAGCGGAAATTTTGAGTAGTTCAGAGTACCAGTAAATGCCACCTCTGACTGGCCCCGCCCCCATCTATTCTCTGCCTCCCGAGTCCCAGCTGGTCGGGAGGAAATGGGGATTTTGCAGTAACCTTGCCCTGGAATGGGGTGGGAATGGAGATTTTACAGTATCCTTCCCCTGCCATGCCCACCAAGCCACACCCACCAAGCCACATCCACATAAATGGTAGTAAAAAAAAATTGAATCCCACCACTGGCACACACTGAGGAATATGCTCGGCATCTGCCAGAGAGTCCCTTGGCTTTGCTCTGAGTTGGATTCAAGCTTTCAGGCAGGTCTTAGGCAGGTAATTGAGCTCAGTCTAGCTTTCTTATCTGGAAAGAGTTTGACTCTGTTACTTCAGATCAAGTGGGCAGAGTTATCAGGACTTGCATATTGGACCCATTTTCCTCCTGGTTGGCCAAATCTTCTTGGGAGATGACCTGACCTTTTAGTTGTGGTGAATTCTTCCTTGAAAGAACAGGTCATCCCACCATTGCTGAAGAAGGAAGCATGATGGAAAATTATCAGCCAGTTACCAACCTTCACTTTTAAGGGAAGGTTATTGAGAAGGCAGTTGTGCAGCAATTCCCAAAAAAATATCTGGACTCCTTCCAATCTGGTTTCAGACCTGACCATGAGACTGAAATAACATTGATCACACTCGTCACTGACCTTTGGTGGGAGCAGGATGAGAGTGGTTCATCCATCCTGGCTTTCCTTGATCTCTCAGCAGCTTTTAATACTATTGATCATGGCAGAAAAGTCTAATTACACATGCAAACATGATCCACCCAGACCCCATGAATAATTTAAAGGCAATACAGCAAAAATCATTCAGAGAATTTTAAAAATCAAATCTGAAATGAAAACACAATCCGTATTAGCCATAATTCGAGAACATATAAAAAAAACATCATAATTTCTTAAGATCCATGTTCATGACTAGAAGGACAAAGTTGTACAACATTGGAAGAAAGGCATAATATCAATGCTACCTCACTGGGAACTTAAATTTGGAGGATATGCAGCAATGACAAAACTAACAATGTATACTCATCATAGATGTTTAACTAAATTAAGCAAGAATGACTTCCATGTATACTACATATCATGCAACAAGACAAATACAATAAGAGTCTGGTTTCTAAAGTTTATGTTAAAAAATATAAATCAGTTGGAGCACAAAGTGAAAGTCAGCACTTTATTGATATATTTAGAAACCTGAGAATGGATTTCTTGGTGAGTTTTAGAAGATATTGCATATCAGATATGAATTTTGGGCTAATATAATTTTCTACAGATTGGAGAACATTATGAATAAAAATCAGCAACAGCTATGGAATCACCATTGTCATCAATTTTTATAGAAGACTTTGAGAAGAAAGCTTTAGAAGTCATTGTTGTCTTAAATATATTGATTATGTTTTCATTAACAGGTAGCTTGGAAAAGACGAATTGAAGAGTTTCCTAGAGCATCTGGAAATGACAACATCCACCATGCCAGGACTTTGGGGGTTGGCTCTTCTCAAATGTTATCTGGAGGTAAGGTAATGATAGATATCTAGCCTATGAAGTACATAGAAATATTACACATATAGATGTCCATACTGCATCACATATCCATCTTCAACAAAAAAAGATCAATTATTATGAATAAAGCTGAAAAAATAAAGTGATGTAGCTAGCTAACCAAATGAAATTTGACATATACATATGAGCTTCTAAGCCATAGATATAATTATAGTGAGGAAAATAGCAGAATTACAAAAGAGAAAAAGTAAACAAACCTTCTTTATATCGCAAATGTGACTGATAAGATGAGAAACATATTGGGGGGGAAAAAAGAATATGGAAGTAAGCTTTGAAATGTGGACAAGATACAATTGTTGGTAGGGGTAAACTAATAAAATTATGACCTGAAGGAATGTGTGAAATCAATTGTCAATGAAGAATCAATCAAAATGTTCCATAGAATGCAAAATCAAAGATTATGAAAGGAAAATGAGGATGAAAAACATAGCACATTCAACATTGGCTGAACATCGATCATAAGGCCAAATCACAAAACAGACCTGGAGAATGTTAATATCCCATATGTAACAGAATTTATGAAATAAGCAATAGAAATTTATAAACTTCCAAATCATTTAAAGAGTGAGGAAGGTAGTCAACCGTTGTCTACCTGGCAGTTACTATTTCACTGCAGACATTTTGCTCCACTGAACCAAGGTAGAAATAAGGTAGATGGAAGATCTGTTGCTAAGCAAAATTTCAGACATGCTCTGATGAAGCCAGCGACATGACCAACAAAATGTCACTCACCTGCATTGTCTCACACAGCACTACCTGGAAGTCATTTTGAGAGTTACTTATGATTATGTTTTGGTGTGTTTTAAAAAAAATAATGTAGATGTTGCATAGAAATGCATTCTTACTGAATCCTGACATTGATTGTATAGTGTAGAATATATTAATTCTGTCTGCTGTGAGGTAACTAAGATATCTTCTCTTAGCCTTATATTTAGGACTGGCTGGGTTCTGCTACCTGTGATCTTCTTTAAGGTGACAATTTACTGTCCATAGAGGTTATTCTGAAGGAACATGTCCACTGTGATAAGCAAATAATTGCTTTGCCAGATTTAGGTATTGGTATCTTCCACTGTAACACATCTCATCAGTTTTCATATTTCTGCTGTCTTTGCTTCCTCCACCAAAACAACAACAAAATCTGCTAAAGAGAAAAAATTGAATGTGCTACAATTGATAAACTATCCAAGATTTGAAATTAACCAGACCTGATGATTGAGCTTCATTCAGGCCCTTTCCACTCTCTCATTTTATGGTCCTTGAACAAGATAGAACTTCAAAAAGTGAAATTCTCTGTGAAGTAGCACAAATGACAAAAGCAGTTAGGAGACATTTATTGAAACTGAAATTGTATTTATTTACTGTCAGTGACTAGCAAAGACATTTATCGTCTCTTGATCCTTTCAAAAAAGAATCTGTAAAATTGTACAGAATGTATCTTTTACTTCTCAATGGCTCAGCAAAAAGTAATAATAATAATAATTCAGCAGAAAAGTTATTATGATCCTGTCAAATGTTGTTAAGAAATGTATGAAAGATGTGTGACTATGGAAATCTTCTTACATCATGCTATAACTAAAACATGATTGCATCTACTTTTAAAGAGAGATTCCAGGACCCTGAGATGTGGATTTTGTAGATAAACAACTAGCGTATGAAATCCTGAAAAGAAAGTAAACATTTACTCCCTTTATTTGTCCCCCTTTGGAATAACATGATTTGATCCTCAACATTCTTCCTCTTTCTTTTTGGTCAAAACCACAGGTAGGTTATAGATGCTTGTGGCTTGGATTAAGCCTGTAATAATTTTCAAGCAGGTGAATGAATAATCCGACTAATGAATTCATATGCTATTATAGTTAGAAGCTTGTTGTATCAGGCCATGGTTGTATTCAGGAACCCACATTCCTTTCATATTTGTGCTTACAGTTAGAATGCAGATAATGACTTAATTGCCCCTTTCCTCCTTTTCTCTTCCCTGTCGCGATGTTCCTCAGGCATACTAGAAACAGCCCACGCGATTCTCAACAGCATGGGTCTCTATAATAACTCTACCCATTCTCCATTCATCTGTCTTCCCTGAGAAGCCCTATACAGATTTCTGTCACTTTCAAATTAATCAGACCCCTTTGCTTGAGCATAACCCTCCAACCTCTAACAGGACAACAGGACTGGAATTTGTGGTCAGAAAGAAAACTTCACATCTGATAAATCAGTTGTTATAATGCAAAAACACACATACACATGTGCGTATGGATTATTTGTTTCCTGATGAAATAGCAGGAACAGGCTGTTTCATTTTTTTCTATACCTTCTTATATTCTATCCCGAAAATGGGCTACATGAGGAAGGAAACAAGAATATCCTAATATATGAATGGATAATCTGCTTATATACTGTTGGATTTTTAAATGAGAGATTTAATTAATAATTAACAATGCAATCTTTCTGGAATCGTCATGATTTTCTGTGGATGCTGCTATGAAGATTAAGGATGAAAATGGTACTGGAAGAAGTCCCAGGAAACTAAAAGCTTTTCTCTCAATCACACCACAGTGCATGCCTACACTATCTCACATGAAGACCCTCCAGATGCGTGGATTTTACTGATTTGGTATCCAGGGAATTCTGGCAGTTAGTTCACATACCCAGAAGAATTTCAGATTGAAGAAGGCTGTTCCAAAGCATCCAAAATCATTTTAATCCCAGTCTCAATCTAGAAGTCAGATTCAGAATCATGTCACTATGCACATTTTCCCAAAGTTAAAAATCAAGAGGCCAGTCAAGTGTCTTGCCTGTAAAAGTTGTCATTTTGCAAAAATACAGATCTTAGCTCTTAACTGCCTTAATAGCAACTTCATTATTTTCTTCCAAAGTTAAGGGACTGTCTCATTTTATGCATATTTTACATATTCTTAAAGATAGCCGAGTCCTGAATCATTTTATAACTAGGATGGCTAACAATCCAATAAACCATGATTGATCTAATATCTTTTATGTTTCTATATTTTAAAAACTGAAATATATCAGAAGGTGCTTCTCCTACAGAATCATTGTCAAAACCAAAGTATTTTAGTCAGATCCAGCAGTTTTATCTGGAATGCAGAATAT